CTCCCCCCTTGGTTCGAGCGGGTTTGAGTGTAACCACTCGACCCTTTTCCCGTTCTTGGGCAGGCGTTAACGGCGCCTCATGTAACGACTCCTGGTCGTCCTGAATGGCCGACACCTCGGCGGCTAGTCTTTTCTTGACTAGTTCTGCTTCAAGTTCCAGTTTCTTTTCTTTTTATGTTGGCCAGTCTCTCCGCTGCCTCTAGTTCTGCCAGCCTTAACCTCGTGTTGACGCTGGCTGTCGAGCGGTGTGACATTGCTGGCGATCGTTGACGGCGATGTTCATTTTGTTCCAGTAGCGCTGAAGAGGGTTCCGTAGGGGCGTGGATCGTGGCCGAGGCGGGCAGACGGGTGCATTGTTCACCGGTACCTGTTCGGTGCGGTACGGGTGACGCTGGAGGTTCGAGGGACAGTCGTCGTTGACGTTCCAACTCAATACGATCGATCTGTCGTTCTTGCGTCCGTCTTCGTTCTTCCGCGTCGGTTGAGTCGCCTTGGCTCCGGGTAATAACCATTTTCTTGTTTGAGCTCTTCGGAAATCTTCTAGTTGACAGTAAATGTTCTTCACTATCCGGCTACTCGATGGACCAAAACTGTAGTGGACTGTATTAATTTTGAATGTTCTTCCAATAAAAGAGTTCTTCCTTTTGTAGACGTTTATTATTCTTCATTACAATTGAGCCGTATCGTACAAATTTTTTATTTACACATATATATACATTGACAGTGGTATGACAATTAACTAGTGTTTAAAAGCTAATCTTCGGGGCGTCGACCAATCACGGCCTCGATCGCGCCGTCGCCGTGGCGCCACCCAGCGCGGTTCCACCAGCGATGATTTCGCTGCGACTGGGTTGCTCCGCCGTTGACTGGTAGGACGCGCGACGAACTATTGCTTGACGCGATGTGGCTGTTCAACCGGTGTGTTAGGCGACACTTTGTTATTTTCTTCTGTAAATTACTTAGGCGATCCGTTAGCCGCTTGAGTCGCTAACAATAGTATAAAACAAAGTCGTCCCGCTGTCTGCCTATCCTTATGTATGCTTAGATCTTTAAAACTACGCAACGGATCTCGAAACGGTTTCTTTTTTACTAGATACTGTTTCAAGAGCACTGATTGATTAATTTTATTGTCATTATTAACCGGGTGGTTAACAGAAAATTTAATAGAGATACTGTTCGTATTATTTTCATAACTAGAAGTGTAATAAAAAAATAAAGTTTATTATATGATAATTATTTTGTTAGCCTTGTTCATTAATTGATCTAAGTATTTTCAAAGCATGTACGTTACTCCGCCTTGTAATTAGAACAGAGCTGACTGAGCATTTTTAACGCAGGAATTTTACTCAAAAAACAAGTTTTCTTGTAATCTTTACTAAACCGTGGGTTGTAAATATAATCTATGAACTGGCACAACGAAAACTCTTCAATCATGCTAAAGGCGAGAGAAAAAAAAACTGATGTATAATGAGAACAGTAGACCACAAATCGAAAATTTGGCAATTATATTGATAGCGTTAAATGTAATCAATATGATTGCAGACGTTGCAGGGTATGGATTCCAGAGATTAGTAGGGGCGAAAAAAAAATTTAACAGCCTATTGGCGGCAAATATATAAATCCGCAACTGATTCTATCATGATTTTTTAAAGAATCATCATCCTAAAAGGAAAGACTGGAAGGAAAAACCGCAACTACCCGTCATAAGGATTGGTGTTTAAGATTGCTAATATGCGGCACTTCCTATTAGCGGTCTTGAGAGGCTCATAACATATATATATCCATAATTGTCAAAATGTCCACAATTTGTTAAATTGTAACTAAAAGTTGAAAAACTTTTTCGGTTTTTGTAAACAATATTTTTCGTGGGTGAGTTTCGAGTAGCCTTAAATTAAATCACAAAACTTGCGACTGGAGATTGGAGATTGCCCGAACTTATTAGTTATTGTATGTTATTACACACCATTGTTGTCGTAATAAACACGAAAACAGGGCAACTTAGGCGTAACGAGCTCTCGCGACTACCGGTGCCAGTACTGTACTCCATCTTGGCGCGTCAATATAATTATACAAAAGCTTTGGCGAGAGACGACGGGCGCGCCCGACGCTGTTAACGGGAAAATGGGACCGCGGGCTTCTTTTCCCGCCTGCTAGGACACACGACACTAGATGTCATTTTTAGTCTTGAACATGAGACGGAATACACTACGGTATAAAGGCTCGGCTGCCATGTACCCGTGCCGAACACCGCTTGAAACTTATTTGATTGTGAAGGGTTGTCATCGAACTTGCGGTTCACCTGATGTTTATTTTTAATTTTAATGTTTATTCGGGATTATAAAACAACACATAAAAATTTTGACAAATTTTACTAAACGCATAACCACCAACCAACCTGTCCACAAATACATGTAATATTATGCAAATAAAAACTAGCCTAATTCACTTATGATGACTTAATGTGACTTCTTTCACACTGAAGTAAAGTGAAAGGGAAAGAAATCACAATCTATAATTTTGAGTTTAGAGTATTTAATACGTATCTAGCATTAGTGTAGTGCCCGCTGCCCAGCTTTTGTTTTTTACAATTTTCAGTGCAGAATAGGTGCTTGTGAATGTGTTGTTAGTACAATAGGAGTGAATATTGAATACAAGGTGAATACATTCCATGAACATATAAAACACGCGTGAAGGGC